TTACATGATGCCTGTACAAGGATAAGCGAAGGGTTAAAAAACATCCCAATACGAGAGCTTAAGTCGAAAAAAAATCGCAACATTTCGGCCGCTATTAAAACAAAAGCGCTTCGATTAGATACAGGAGCGGGTTCAAATGAGGTGTGACAGCCCATTTGGTTTGCATTTGATGTAATGGAAAGTTTTTTGGAAGCAGTTTATGGTAGGTTAGAAGGGTGGCTGCATGTAAACACTTGCTCCAAATGCTGCCGTGGAATTATTTACGGCAGTACAGTGGGCAACGCGAGTGGCAGCGGTAGTGGCTGCATGTACGAGGGTGGTCCCACAAGTACCCGGCCTGACCTAGAGATGGCGATAGTTGTTTGAAAAATATCATTGTATTAGAAAGTATGCAACCTATAAAGCATATGTGTCAAGTTTGAGGACGCCACATTGTTCAGTATTTGTTTGGCAGCCATCAATACTGAACGTTTTCAGTGAATTTGTGAATATGGAAAGAATTGGTCATCGTTATGTGGTACAATACTTTTATTTCAAAAGCCTCAGCCCAATCAATATAAAAGCTGAACTGGATTCTACTCTTGGTGAGTCTGGTCCTTCATTTACAACAGTAAAACATTGGGTAGCAGAGTTTAAACGAGGCCATATGAGCTGCCAAAACGAGCATCGGAGTGGTCGACCAAATGAGGTGACGACTCCAGAAATGGTGAAGAAAATTCACAAAGCGGTACTGAATGATCGTCAACTGAAAGTGCGCGAGCTAGCAGATATATTAGGCATTTCAAAAAGGGTCGTGAAGATGTTTCAATTGAGTGTTTACCGAAGTTTCACAGCCAGAAAGCAGAATTTTTACCATGGTTGAAACATGGGTCCATTACTTCACACTCGAGATAGAAGAACTATCAAAACAATGGACTCAAAAGAGACAACCGGCTCCAAAGAAGGCGAAGACCGTTTCATCTGCAAGCAAGGTTATGGCGTCGGTTTTTTGGGATGCGTGTGGGATAATTTTCATTGACTATCTTGAAAAATGTAAAACTATCAACGGCGAGTATTATGCGAACTTATTGCAACGTTTGAGCGATGAAATCACGCAAAAATGGCCGTATTTAGTTAAGAAGAAAGTGTTGCTTCATCAAGATAATGCACCATCTCACAAATTCGTTATTGCAATGGCCAAAATTAACGAATTAAAGTTTGTATTGCTACCCATTCATCATATTTAGCCCCCTCGGATTGTTTTCTGTTTCAAAACAAAAAATGGCACACTGGTCAAAGATTTCCCAACGGTGAAGAAGTGATGTCGGCAGTTAATGGCTATTTTGGGGAGCAAGACAGTTCTTATTATAAAAAGGGTATCGAACATCGCTGGAAAAAGTGTATAGAGCTCAAAGGAGATTATGTTGGAAAATAAATACATTTTTTTACAAAATTTTTGTGCTTTCTTCGTTGGGTCGGGTACTTCTGGGACCACCCTCGTAAAGCCGGTACAAAATTCAAGTTGTATTAATCTCTTTTGGACGGCCTGGGAAGGAAACAGGCTCCATAGAACGCCAATATAGTAAGCCAGTCGTTTAACTAAAACTAATGTTGTGATCAAAATATCTCCTTATATCACTTAAACTACATAACAAGCTCTTTGATTGAAATGAAACAATCAATACTTACAATAATAAGTTCTCATAAAAAACTCAACGGTCATTACTTGAATACTATCGTGATATGGATATCAAATATATTTAAGTGATACAATACGCCTCACTTTCCACTACAATTAGCAACTAAATATTAATATGCTCGTGATGCCTAGATGTTCCTAATAAAGCTCTTGCATCCTAGCAATGAGAACTGTTAATTTATTTATTGTCTTTACAAGGAACCATTGCCTTTCCTATGAACACCAGTATTTTAACTAACACGTAATTTTTTCTTTAGTGTCATTGCAACTACTAATACATAAGTTCATAGTAAAGAAATTTAAAGAAAACAGTACTTCATTTACTTGAAAATTGAAGTTTTGCTGTGAGCTCATATTATAATTTCAACGTCGACGGCGGAAATCAACAACGCGAGAAACCGCATTGACAAAATAACGAAGCGGGCGACTCGCCGGTACGTCTGTACTCTTGAGTTCGATGGGTATTACTGTGCAATAGGTACGCCTTTTTGATAATTGACCTTACAAAGAGAACGGCCTTCCATAGTTCACCTACTTTATTAGTTAGATCTTTTGTATTGCGTAAGTATCATCTAGAGACGCGGGTATTTAGTTATGGGTCGTCTTTCGATGAAGGAGCGCACCAGAATTGTATGGAAATACAAAGAGGTGACAAGCTTGACGACATCTTCAGCCCATGCGCTGGAAATATCACAAAGGGCCTGCGACTCTCGATTGACCCTGCACTTCTCACGCAACGCAGTCATCAGTTCATAAAGGATTACGTTCGGCCCAAGTTAGTCCATCTGCTACAGGCATGTAACAAGTGTTAAGGGCAAATCTACGGGGAAATTTATGATGAATTACCGGGGTTGGAAGCGTATAAATATACGGTCATCAAAAAATGAGACATACCTTCTCCATCCCCTATAACTCCCGCACGAGTATTATGTAAAAAACTTATTAAACGTCAAAAAACACCTATAAAATGTCATCTTACAGATTACGTAGTTTTTAGGGTGCAAACAGTCATTCCTGATTTGCTCACTAGGATCGTTGTGAGTGTTTAACTATGAAGGAATGACTCAACTACACGCATTGTTGATTGCATATGTTTTGTGAAGCCGCGTAGTCTGTAGTTTTTATCTCTGAGGAGAACGTTGGTTGAATAGCTAGATCGCATCTGTATAATTATGTGTATTGTCCATAAAATCAGTGATATTTGCTTTGTGAGAAAATCATTACTGAATATGCTGCCAATGAAGTACATTTATTAGCTGTGCCCGACCGGTTATTTATATGTTGTCCTTTCTGAAGACAGGTTATGTTGAATGTTCAAAATTACGATTTTTTATGTTTTTTGTGTTTTCAAAAACTTTGAGGAGAATTGCAGGAAATCACCACCGCACTCGCATTGTATGTAATTACTGTTAGCATATACAGAGTGTTTGGAAGGTTGATACAAAGTGGTAGGACCATTTAGAATCTGTTAAGCCAAAAATACCTTAGGTCAAAGGCTTACGGTTTTCGAGTTATTCGATTTTGATTGAAAAAGAATATGCCTTTTATTCCTGTTATCACTGAAGGAACATCACGCTATATGAAATAGTTTTAAAATTCCTGACAATGTGGTTTTTTCTCCGAAGGTAGAGAAAATAAAAACAAATTGTGCATGATAAAGCTAAATTCCACACATTATTGCTTTATTCCTTTTCAAACAACTCAATAGTAACTCATGAATTTCAGTCCAAAAACCCTGAGTTAATTAGTTTGCAAAATGGCCACTTTCACTAACGAAGAATACGCAGATATCGTTGACATGTATGGTAGAGTAGATACTAGTAATGGACTAGAAGCACGACAGTTGTACAAAGAGCGATTTCCTGGGAGTAGATTGCCTAATGTCAGAGTGTTTTACAATATTTACCGACGTCTTTATGAGACTGGAAGTGTAACACGTAATGAACCTGGTGTTAATCCATGTCGATATCCTCCTGAAGCCGAAGATCTAATCCTCCAAGCGTTTGAAGATGATCCCACTCCAAGTACTAGGAAAGTTGATGCTGATCTTGGTTTGTCGCCATGGAAGGTTTGGACTATCATGCACCGTGAACGAAAATATCCTTTTCATGGTATCGGCGTACAAGGACTTGAAGATGGTGATCCTATTCGCAGAAGCCAATTTTGTCGTTTTCTCTTACATAGCGATATTGAGAATGAACGGTACCTGGAAAGCATTCTATAGACGGACGGATGCAATTTTTCAAAGGAGGGCATTACAAAATTTCACAATTTGCATCAATGGGCTGATAATCAGGAAAATCCACAGTGGAAAAAGCAGGTGACTTTCCAGCACAAATTTTCCGTTAATGTATGGGCCGCCGTCATGGGACGAAAATTAATCGGCCCTCATTTTTTTTTTGTCTGAAAAATTAAACGGCGACAGCTATCTACACTTTTTACAAAATGATATTTCCGAATTACTTGTAGGAGTAGAAATTCAAGGTTACATGCACATTGTTTTCCAATACGACGCATGTCCAGCCCATTTCCGTTCAGACGTAAGACGATATTTGGACGATACTTTTCGAAATAGCTGGATAGGCAGAAGTGGACCAATTCCGTGGCCTGCTAGATCCCCGGACTTGACACCATTGGATTTCTATGTCTAGGGGCATTGCTCCACAGCTGGTAGTAGTAGTAGAAATCGTATCAAGAGACCATTTAATAAGAAAAGTTCGAGAAGTTTTTTATTTAATGCAAAAAGACAGGTTATTAAATACAACAAGTACCGAAGTAACACGAAAAGCTCGAGCATGTATTAGAAATAATGGTTCTCACTTCGAACACCAATAAAGCATGTTTCAATAGTTTATTTTGTTTCGTTCACTAATTTATGATTTAAATTTACTAAGGTATGCTTGGCTTGAAAGACTCTAAATAGCCTGCCCTCTCCTCTCCCCAAGACTTTGTTTCGACCTTCCAAACACCCTGTATATGACTTGTAATTCGACAATGTACAGTGTATATAATTATTTCTTATCCCTCTCATTGTTGAAATTCAGCAAATGTGCATATGTAATTTCCAGAATAGATAGGAAAAAGGGGATGCGCAACTAACTTCTAGCTTTGAATCTCAAGTAAGTGTATTTAAGACATGGATCCAAAGGAATTATCATCAATACATATTATTAGCATACAAATCTTGTCTATGCCCTATGCATTGGCGTTTCCTTCTAGCTATAGTATACAACTTACAGCTTAGACCTACAGTATTGCCATCTCTGAAGCAGATTTTACATCACATTAGATACAAATATTGATAACTGAAGCCTTGTGACGTTTAGCAACACGTACAACTACAAAACGAGTTCACAACGTGGCCATCAGCTAGTGCTTAGTTAACATCTTGTAGAAAAATCCACATAATATCACAAAAAACCAATACAATGTCAGAAAATATCGACATAACGTAACTTTTGAAGATACGTATAGATAGATACGTGGCGATGTTTTCTGAACACTACTTTCCACGTTATAGATGGGCCAAGGTTTAGCGGGCAGACACACAGACCGACAAGCACACCGACAGACACACCTGCAGACCGATAGAAATGAGAGAAATGTATTTGTATTTAATTTTGCAAAGCATAAAACAACGTTGTATGCATTTGGTCATGGTTACAGAGTCAGGCATTGGCTTATTATGATTGTTCAATAGTCACCGCCCCAAAAATAGTCGGTATATTTTATCATTCAAACAGTAAATTCTTAAATACGAATCTAAATTATCCTTCACTTTCCCATTATACAGCTATATTAGTGTTTCACATTAAGACCTCTTCTCTTTGATCCCAGTTTTTCATGGATACCTGTGGAAAAACAAACAACAAAACATAGACAAAGGTGCAACACAAACGACTGAATACAAGAAATGATTAAAAAAATAATAGTAATACACGAATGGTAGCAGGATGGGAGATAATAGACCAGTAAGAATAGCAAAAGGCAAAGCATGAAACTGGAATAGGAAGGTCAAGAAATAGCATGACAACCTGGACGTGCAATGAAGACGCATCTGAAGATGGAACAGGCACAAGTTTACTAAGAAGTAAAGAAGGGAGTCGAAGAAGAACATATCCGATCCCGTATTTATTGTTAAAAACTGAGTTTCCGGAGCTAGGTCTCAAGGACACCGATCATCACCACAGTATGAACTACCTATTTGTCAGGCAGCAGCGGTGACGTAGTGGTAGACGTTATGAATCTCGTAATCAGTCGCCGTGTGCTGCGCGGGTTCGAATCCCGTCCCAAGAAAATATTTCTCTTGGCTAGGCGTGTTATGATTGTCAGTAGGTAGTCTCTGACTATCGAACGTGGAGGTACCACCCCGCGGATATCTAAGGCGGGGCCAGACTGTGTGCATGTTGTATGCACACGTGTTCCCTCGCTAGAGTGCGAATAGCGTCCCCCTTACCCCTGTATCCCCCCACAATCCAACTGTACCCCTGGCTACTCAGGCACTAGTCCTTCATAGTGGTTCAGATATGAAAAAGTAATTCAATTCCTCTGTTCAGTCTTTGCCCATTACTTTTGTGTGGGATCTCAGATCAGATATTATTAGATCTGACCGAATGCGACCCTGTGCAACGTAAATATCGGGAGCAGTGCTCTGTTCCTTGTCGGAAAAGCCCCTGCACCAACGGTGCACCTATTAACATCTAGGACGATATAAATGTAAATAAATTTATTTTTACTGCAGGAATGAGCAACATCATGCGCCTTATATTAATATTGTAATACTACGCCACTCTTGCGGCCTTTAGTAATGCTAGCTCGTACGGACAACTAGGATATGTTTACTGTAGCAATGTTTTGTCGAATAGAAAGGAAGAACACAGTATATTTTAGTGGCGCCACTAAAAGGTAAAAAGGTGATTCCACTCAGTTCTTATCAACTAATTCAGACTAGGTAGAAGGAGCCAGTCAAGGGTTTTGTTGTCTCCTAATTGTCATCGTCTGTAGAGCGTACTATAGGTGGATTTGACATAAGTCATCTTTGACAGATCTGTTATTAAATTTGTATTTTCAAAAGTGCGAGTGTTTGCAGATAATTATAGTGTTAGATTACTTCAAGACATGTTACTTCTTATATAATAAGACATGGCATAACTGCCATCTGTTACCAGAATCGACCACTGCGAGAGTTAAAACAGCAACTTTTCTGTTGGAACTGTATTCCAGTTCTCAGTTGACAGCCTGGTCAACGCTGTGGTAAAGTAGGTACGTAAACAAGTTTCAGTGTTTCCCCAGGGACCAGGCGGCGAGGTGGTATACATGGGCATAGAAAACTGACACAGCATCCACAAAAATGCGTAGACCAGTATGACGATTGTGCAGAAGAATAGATCAATGTTGAGAGTTATAATGATGCATTAGCTATTGGGAAGGAATGTTTGTTGAACTCTTAGAAAAATAGGAGACCTTACATTTAGGATTACTTCCGTAGTATAATGTTGTGACGATATTGGCACGATCAGTAGGTTTGTCTGTCAACGTTGCACTTAGCCACATTTCTAGCATTTTCACTTTTAAGCCACCTATTAATATTTTAGATTTAATAGCTGTTTACGATAATAATTTGTGCCACGTAGAAATCTATTTTGACTTTACACATCGCAGAAGCATTAAAATTCGCAGAAACAGGTGTTCATATTGCATGGAGGCTTATATCTTTTAAATACCCGATTATATTGGTATCAAAAACTACAAACAAGACGCCTACCTAGCCCTAAAAATATCTATGATGGTTTAACGAACGGATGCAAGGTATAATTACTAACTCAAATAGTACTTTATACTCACATGTAGTGTATTTAATGAAGCAACTGTGCCAATATGTCCATGACAATTTCTCGCCCAACTACTTTAACAATTTATATCCATAGTTTTGGCCAAAAAACCAGGTTGAAAACTTGGATGAATCTCATTACGTTGAGTTATTTTATAGGTTGCCACGATAAACTCATCCTGATTTGGAGAAAGATGTCAGATTTACACACATTTGCATACGTTGTATCATCTGAAACTTATAATGGGGGTGTCGCGCTTGTTAATCCTAATCAAATGAAATCAGAGGTCCAAAAATAGAAGCTATTATTCCATACAAAATCGAAGGTGAAACTAAACGTTTTTTAATGCTCACTATTTGAATGTCGGTGTATCATTATTAGGGCATTTTACACTCAAAATTAAATAAATCGAGGTATTATTTTTGGAAGGTTCAAGAGTTTATTTTCAATTCCCGTAACCCTTTGAAAAGCGTAGGATCCATATACAGGGTGTTCCTTAATGATATGCGACTATTTAAAGGTGTGAATCTACGTGAAAAATTAATGTTAGTTTGCTTTATAAACTATGGTCCAAAAATGTTTCCTTACAAAAACTCGGCGTGTTGAAGTTTTAGGAAAAAATTGGAAATTAATTAATATTTTCAGAACCGCTTCAGATATATCTCTGATATTTAGTACGTAGTGAAAGTTAATAAAGTTGCATATTTTTCAATGCAAAAATAATTTTTATTTCTAGCAGTGGCGTGCGTACGGGTATTAACTTCGAAATTTTGCAAGAAAAAAATGGCACGTCAATGATTTTTCCAAATAGTTTTTGAATTCCCCGTTCAAATTAAAACAAATGATCTCTCTTGAATTGTTTTCGTTTGATGCGCCATTTATGAGTAAAAAAATAAAAACCGTTCTATTGTCCGAGAAAACTAATGTAATAATTGAAGAATCCAATTTAGCAATAAATATGTAGTCGCTCTGTAATATGTCACTGGCTTTTGACATTTGACAAGTTCCTGTTATTCAAATCTGTTCGCTGTTTGATCTTTCTCATTATTATTTTTTACAATCTTGTTAATAATGGTGAATTATTCAAATGCAGAAATGGCGGAAATGCATTACGTATATGGCCTTGCCAACGATAATGGTGAGCAAGCCAGACGGATTCATCACCAGAGATATCCCGATCGTGCTTTGCCAGCTAGTCGAACCTTTTCTAATATTCATCGTCGTCTTGTTGAAACTGGTTTTGTCCGAAAAGGAACATCTGAACGTAGACCTCTAAGCGTGAGAACACCTGAAATTGAGGAAGCAGTGCTGCACGAAGTCGAAGAACATCCTTAAACGAGTACGAGGAAGATCGCTAGACACTTAGATATTTGCCTTCAAATTGTTTGGAGAATTTTGGTGGATTTTTTGTTATATCCTTACCATATTTTAAGACTTCAGGCATTACTTCCCATTAATTTTCCAAGGCGTGTGACCTTTTGTCAATGGTATCTTCAAAAAATTACAAAAAATCCTCAATTTGAATGAATGATTCTGTTCACGGACGAAGCTATAATTTCTCTCGAAATGTCATTCAGAATTTCCACAATAATCATTTATGGGCAGAAGAAAATCCCTATGCCATAACCGAAACCCATTTCCAACACCAATTTTCGGTTAACTTTTGGGCAGGAATTATTGGCAACCACTTTATTGGCCCATTCTTCTTGCCTGGACGACTTGACGGACAGACTTGCCTCAATTTTCTTCAACAACAGTTGCCTTTGCTGCTTGATGATGTTCCGTTAGTAATAAGACAATATATTTCAGTGTAGCGGTTCGTAATTCTTTACAAACTGTTTATCCAAATCGTTGGATTGGCCGCGGTGGGCCCCAAGAATGGCCACCAAGGTCCCCAGACCTCAACAGTTTAGATTTCTTTTTGTGGGGCTATCTTAAGTCACTAGTGTACACAAGTCCCATTAACACTGTAGAGGAATTAAGATAAAGAATAGTTGCAGCTTGTGATAGAATAAAAAAACTCCAGGGATATTTCAACGCAATTAATGTTATGTTTATGTTGTCAGTTGTTGCTGTTCATTACCCCTAATGTGTTTAATTTTTCCAATTAAATTAATAACAATTTTGCAAGTTAGACAATCGCGCATCAAAGAAAAACAATTTAAGACCGATCATTTGTTTTAAATTGACCGTAGAATTGAAAAATAATTTTTATTTTGCAAAAACTATTGGCGTACCATTTTTTTCTTAAAAAATATCGAAGTCAATACCCGTACGCACGCCACTGTTAAAGCTAAAAATTATTTTTGCATTAAAAAATATGCAACTGTATTAACTTTCACTACGTAATAAATATCAGTGAAATAAAACTTCAACACTCCGAGTTTTTGTAAGAAAAAATTTTTGGACCATAGTTTATGAAGCAAACTAACATTAATTTTTCATGTAGATTCACACCATTAAATACTCGCGTATCATTGAGGTACACCCTGTATAATCTATGCTTTTGCCTAGCTTTTCCAACATCATATTGTCATAACGTTCGCACTTTTGATTTTTGGGTGGGTTTTCGCGTTTTCTGGGTATTTTTTTGTGTTTTTGGAATGATAGACGAGGGTGATGTGTCTCGTACATTAAAAAAAGAGACAGATAGCCTCATGCTAGCCCCTTTGGAGGGCTGGACGTCCTTTTGGGAATGAGAATACCTTCCTCAAGCAGTCCTGAGCTTGCTGTTTTTTACAAGACCGTTCAAACTATTGCAGTAACTCACTGCAAAGAAACGTCTAAATGAAGGAAAGAACAAAGTGTCAACTAGAAGAAAGATAAACAAGTATATGTGGTTTGATTCCGCTAGACAAACATGGAGAATTATAGATATACTATGTTAACTTTTTCTTACTTCCCATACCTATTGATGAAGAAGTATTGTAATATCGAAACATTTTTAAAACGAGATACTACTACGTTTTTGGGATGTTATAATGACATGTACATAAAAAACCATGACACTTGTTTCCGTC